ACGACAACGACAACGACAACGACAACGACAACGACAACGACAACGACGATGATGAAGAAAGAAAGAAACAAACAAAAATGTAAATTCTTCAATGCGGATTCTACTCTACTTTTCGAGTGAAACGGTTGTATATGTGAATTCTAGCGACCCATCTCAAAATATTACGGCTGCATTTTCCTTCTTCTTCTTCTTATTCTTTTTTTTCGTCTTTAAAACAAATGCACACAGCATTAATGCATTGATAATGAGCACATTGGTTTTTGGTGCAACGAAAAAAAATGGTGTTCGGGTGCATATTTTAACATGCATCCCACCAAAAACCGTATCAAGTAAAATGATTTGTACATATGGCAACTATGGGTATAATGTTGTAGTCGATTTAATTGAAATTCGACTTCAATTACGGATATCAATAACAAATTAAAATTGTAATTGATACTTTTTCTTTGTTGCTCACCGCGTGTATCGCTCTCATCATCATGATTCGTTGTGGGGAGGGTAGGAAAGTTTATGTTGTTCATTTTCCCATTTAGCAACAATTGAAAATCAGCTACTGTGTTGCTCTTCCTATTACTTTTTCTATGCAAAACGGATTTTCAAAACACACAACAACAACAACAACAACAACCGACACTAATAATGTGAAACATACACTAGTGACGTGAAATATTAGAGCAGTGCCGACACAGTCGATGAGTATAAGAAGGAGATGATCAGATGAAAACAAATTGCCGTACTTATTTTACCGCAGCTTTTGTTCTCGTTCATTGTTCGATGTTGGCTTTGAGAGGCTCCTGCAACATAAACAAGACTCAAACAAATCGGGTAAATGATGGACGAACGAGTGAGCGTCAAGTACTGGTGTTGATGTGTATTTTACTTGTGTCGAAGGGATCGTGCTGCTACTGCTGTTGTGTTTTGTTTATTTGTTTGCTACAGCAACAACTAAATCAGGTTTCACCACAAAGGACAGGCACAGACAAATAGCAAATAATAGTTTTTTTTTCTTTCGGCAGACACTTATCACGATCAAAATTTATCGTGTATGTTCAAACTATCGTGATTGTTGCCGAAACACCGCCCATTTTTACTATTTGGTCCGAAAGGATCTGATTTTGATTCGATCCTTCGGTGGTGATTTGCTCTAGTTTTTCCGATGTTTGCAATTTTTTCTGGAGTGGGGATGGACAATTTGTACAGTACCTGAACTGGTGTTTTGGGATGCATTAAATAGCCATAACAACTAAACGAATCAGTTCAGTTGCGATCGATTTTCTTAAGGGAAAACATACATTGGGTGCAAATTGTTTGGGAATTTGTCGAGGAATTGTAAGAATTTTGAACATCAAACGAAAAAGAACGAGAAATATCGAAAAAAGATCGAAAAAAATTCTATGAGAACTGAAAAATACGAAATAGATAGAAGATACAATAAGATAATAGAAGGGACAAGTTAGAAGAACAGTGCCTAAGTCACGTGGACTCGTACAAATCAGTTTGATATGATGCTGCATTCGAATATCTTTAAATTGAGTTCACCACAAAAAATGGATATCGATAATATTCCATCGGCGCCTGGCAATCAAAAACCAGTGATTAGGCCGCAGTTTGTGAATAAACCGAGCAATTTTTCCATTGATCACATCTTGAACAGCGCCGGAAGCACCCGTGATAAATATATGTCCGATTGTGGTAAACAACAAACGGCCAACGAATTGCACAATTTAAACAATCAACAAAGTGATCACTTTATAATCGAAAGTGATGTTCATCAGTATCCTCCAATATTGAATTGGCTTCAATATACACGGTATAAACCTCCTCGCTTACCACGTAAGTAAATCACATCTTTTTCGTGAATGATACAGATAAAAGAGGAATTTTTTCATTGCATAATTCCATGCGCAAACTTTCTATTCTTAAAATGATAGCAGATTTTTGCGTTTTCTTCCAGTTTGAATGAACTTTGCATTTGGTACACACACGTGTGCGCAAAATCAACAAATTTTAATTCTTACAATCTAATTTTTTTTAATCTAAATTGGGAAATCTAAGAAATATTGCCCGTAATTCATTCTAAGATTAAACAAATGAGACAATGATGTAAAGCGTGCTTGAAAACAAATAAAATAAATTAAAATGTGACATTAGAATGGCCTAGCCTCCAAAAGAGAACTAAGATTTTCGTGCTGATTATTTTCAGTTTCGTTTGAAATTCTGATTTTTGCGCAAAAGTCGATTTTGCCCAAATTGTCCATTGCGTTCTTTGTCAAATTTCAAATTCAATGTTTTACCTTCATTACAAATCATTTTCTTCCTTTTTTTTAAAAAATCATAGGACCAGTTCGAAATGGACCAATCAAACGTACACCTGGACGATTACCACGGATTCCATTCACTCCATTTCAACTGAATGAACTGGAAACTGCCTATAAACGTGCCAATTACCTAAGTTCAGAAGATGCAAACAAATTGGCGATTCGTCTTGATTTAACGTGTGTGCGCGTGAAAATTTGGTTTCAAAATCGCCGAGCTCGAGAAAGGCGGGAAAAACGAGAATTAAATACAACGCCACCATCGATTTCGCCCAATCACAGTCCTTTGCACTGAAGGATGACCCTTGGTATAAGCCAAAACTGTTGTGTATATAGAGAGATTTTTTTTACTTACCTTTTCATTGAATGACTCAGGATATATCCATAGGAATAAGTTATGTTTTATAAATTATGCTGAAACTAAGGCATTTTACGATAAAAAATCGAAGAGAAGCAAATATATGACTTGAACAATTTAAAAGTGTTTTTTGTTGTTGCATTAGATGATGTGAGATTATGTTCGACTTTTTTCGAGCTCAGGAAATCGCGTTTTTTTTTCTAGATGCAAAAAAGACTTACCTTCAAAATATCAAAGCAACCTAGTTGCAGCAATCAAGCTATCTCTTTTTAATCAACAGCCATTCAGACATAGAAGTCTCGATTAAAACACCCATCGAATTGAAATGTATACATTTTTATTTGATTATTTTATAAATATGCTGTTATTAATTTCCGAAACATCGTTCCAGTTCGGATAATGTTGCATTTTTCTATTTTGTTTTTTTTTTTCTTTCAATTTTTGATTACGATTTTTTTTGTATGTTGTCTTATGTTGTTTTTCTTTTTCTTTTTCTCTTTTTCTTATCTTCAATAGTTTGATTTCATTTTTGCAATTTTTCAATTTTCGATTGTTTGGGAATGAAACATGATTCAACAGTGGTAAATAGTGAGCAAGCGTTCATATCTTATCTAACATTTTGCACCTAAGCAGCTACTATATATCCAGTGACCAGATTCAATGTGAAACAATTCAAAATGTTCAGTCACCGAGATATACCATGATCATGCTGATTGTCGACACAATTTCGGATAAATGCAAATCAATGAGACATTGTGTTTTTTCTCTTCTTCTCCTTTGTAAGATTGTCAGTTCATTTTATAAATCCCGATTGATTTGTTCACATCATTCAAATATAAGAATATTTATTGTTTTTTTTTGCGCTTTCATGATCTATTGAGATGACTTAATTTGAATCCCGTTTTTATTTCATTCACTTTTGAAGTAATAATATATATCTTAACAGTTAAACCTTACGCTCTTACGGTTAAATTGTAAATGCTTAGCCAAAAAAGCCATTTCAATTGGACGAAAAATTGTGATTCATCCAATCGAGTGGCCTTTAATGTTTTGCTTGTTTAAATTGTTTTTTTTTTCTCTTTCTCTTTATTTGTTAAAAAAATATATGTTTATACTAATTTCTGTCTTAAATTGCCTAGATCTAACATTTGAAGAAATTCAGTTGATTTATTCACGTGTACAAATAAGAGGTTGAACATTTCAGTGGAAGTCACTCGTTCCAAAAATTTGTCTTGTTGTGTTTTTTTCTGTTTCTACATTTGTTTTTAAGCCTTGTTTTGGTTCTTCGTTTTTTTTTTCGTATTTCTGTCACAAAAATGACGGTATAAAGGCACACACATTTTGTATGAAATTGTTTTTAAAATTGAATATATTCGGTTGTTGTTTTGCACATACATAATATCAGCACTGCTGGTGAACCTGTTCAAAAATTTAATGTTTCGCTTAAGGCGCACATCAAACCGAAAGACAAAAAAAAATGCGCATATTTCAGTTTATGAGCTAACAAAAATGCATGTTACGCAGAAAAAAAAACCGTTTTTACCACATTTTCAATTGAACATTGAACTTTTAATACTTAGTCTTGTTAGATTTGCACATTATCACGCCTGCTCATTCAATTTATATATCTCTCTCTTCAGACGTATTACAGACTCAAGCCACATGCATTGATCGTTGGCAATCATGTCACTTAATCCATTGAGATATCTCACTGATTGATTTCACTTTTTCGTTTCCAACTTTTTTCTTTCTTGAAAACGATTGAGACAAAATTCTGGATGGCACCCATTTTACTCAAATCCTGATTGTGGCCAAAAGCGGTGTAAAACCGTTTCAAGCACAAAACTGAGAGTAATTTTGTGTGAAATGTGTATAAAAATCGCCAGTCTGTATATCATTGGTCGTCCATCGTCATTTTCGATTGGGCCAAATGTCGTGAGCATCAACTGAATGAATAAAAGTTACCGACGCTATTACTAAATACAATAGATCATCTTACACTCTACAGTTGCGTTGATTTCTTTTCTGTGTTTTTTTTTATGCTTTCAATTTAAATTGAACAATTAACGCTATTCATTATGATCTAATATGTGACTAAATCAATATACTCTTCATGTGTTCAGTAAGCAACAAAATACATTTACAGCTATTTGGCAAATTCATGTGTTAAGCCTCAAGTGTTGAAATAGTACAATGCACACAACACCATGTGTCGCTGGTTGTGTCATCAAATTGAACAGTCAGTACGTAATGGGATAACATTCGTAAATCGATGATTTTCAATCATACAATGTCAAGATATTACTTTTTAGTTTCTTTCCCCATGAAATGGATCGATCGAGATTACAATTCACTTGGAGAATTAACAAAGAGAATCGATCGACAGTACAAAATTGATTGACTGGAAAAACAATTGGACTTTTCATTCAGTTGCAATTTTACACTTTGCATTTTCATCCAAGTGTTTGTCTTTAGTTAAATACTTTTGTTTCGTTTCATAATATCTTAGCGAACAAAGAATTATAAATGGAATAAGATGCATATTAGAATATAATAACAAAACGATAACTAGATATTTAAATCGACTTTAGAAGACTTGACAAACTATGCACCATTTTGGTCATTAAATGCTACAAGATAATTCATTTCGAATTGTTTTCTCCAGCGCTTACGATTGTAATGTTTTTAATAATTTAAAATATATAGATTTATCTGTTGACGATTGCATTACGTAAATAAATGGTTTCGAATCCGAACGATTGAGACGTTCATCGATTCGGTTAACAATAAACAATTATTGTTTTGTTTCTATTCTCTTTCTCTCTCTCTCTCTCTCTCTCTCTCTCTCTCTCTCTCTCTCTCTCTCCTTTTTTTCTTTTTTCCCCTTTTTTGCACAAATTTAATACAATATTTACTATCCAAATGATCGAAGAGATGCGTCCGCGTGTTTTTTGTATAATTTAAATGGAATGTGTATTGCACAAAACGTACGTTTTCCATCTCGATGACAGGCACCTGTCTCTCGCCAAAAGCGCTTCTCTTGCACATTTTTTTTTCTCTATCGGAATGAAGCTCATCAAATCAAATATTAAATCGTACGGAAAACGGAATAACTTTGTCAAGAAAACTACAGACACTAAAGAAAATAGGGAAAGTAACAGACACTAAAAAGTGAACAGAATTTCTCGTCCCCTGCTTTGGATAGAAAACATTTTTCAATAAGGTAATTTTGTTTGATTATCGTTCTAATTTTATCATGTCATTGATCATTGCAAATTGTATTCCATTCAAAACATTTCTTCCTCGAATATTTCCAACAATTTTTTTTTATTCATTCGTAATCGAATATTCGGTAACTTTCAGCGAACAAAAAATACATACGTTGTCATTTTGTAAATAGAAATTGAATTTTTGTTTCGTTTTTTTCTCTCTTTTTTTCTCTATTTTGTCATTTTCTTGGAATAAAAATGTGTCTATGATCAACAATTCTATATATGTATACCATCAAATATATAGTTTGAAAAATGACTCAAAATATACTACTAAATTGCAATAAAAAATAGGCTTTTCATACACTTACAATTAACGCAATAACATTAATGTTAAAAACACATTTTTAAAAATTAGAAGACGATCTTATTTTTGATGATGGACGCTTTTTTCTTTGTAAGTTGATGTTATGTGAATCATAACATTCACCAGCGCATACTTATTGTTTTTTTTTTCATTTCTTTTCTTGAATGAGTGAGCTTAAGTTTTGTAATTAACTTGCCTAGCACTACTAAGAATTTGCTAATATCCAATCGCTAGACACTATATTTTTTTTCGTTGTTGTTGTTGTTGTTATGTTGACCTGAATCAAGTTGGTTTGGCGGGCGTATTGGCGTATGCAGGTTGTGAATTTTATCTGTTTATGTTCGCTTTGCATTTGCTGCTGGACGATTGATCATCGCTTGATATTTGGCCAATTGATTCGTGAGATTTGCATTCATTTCTTCGAGCATTTCGATGCGCTTCAAATGGCTGGTCTTTTCGGACACAAGCAGCTCAACTTGACGCTCCAGCTTGTCCATGTACTCCTTCTTCTTTCGTCGGCTTTCCTGTGCTGAAATCTATGTGTGTGAAAAGCGAAAATTGATTATTTTTCATCTGAAGGAGATTGATGGAAAAAGTCACACTAAACTGCCTCAATTGGGCACTGAGGGCACTGAACATTTGATTGCGAACACAAACCTTGTTCTTGATTTTCCTTCGGATTTTCTTGAGTGATTTTTCTTCCGACTTTGTCAAGGGAAGTCTGGTTGGAATGGGATAACCCTCAGCAATTAGGGTTCGTTTCTCTTCTTCGGTTAGTTCGAGTTGGCCCGTCGACCCTTTCTATAGAGTTAAAAATCAAGCAAAAATTGTTCGTGTAAATAAGAGAACGTGCTCAGAAGTGAAAAAACGGAGAGGTCGTTGGCTTACCGGTTGGTTGCTGATTAGCGGTGTGTGAATTGGTTGACGTGAGCTGGAGGTAGTGTAGCCACGTGAGCTATTCGGTGATCCACCGTTAGCCGATTGATTGCCGTTTTTCACGGTTTGCTGTTGGGCCTGTGAGCTGTTTGGTGAGAATGAGGATAGACTTGAGGCTGGTGACGAGGGGATTGTGTGTATTTCAGCACTTTGATTATCTTCGGAATCATCGCTTGATAATGACGATGGTGGTGTTGGAGGTAAACCAAATCCTACCGTAAAAATAAAACGAAATTTAATTAATTTTTCGAATCAATACTCAGAAAGTGAATATGCCAATTTGTACTGTACCTTGTGTTTGTTGGCCATCCATTCGGATATTTAGTTTTGGAACAACGATTCTTTGCTGGGTGCCATTCAAGATGATTTGCTGGTTTTTCAGTAAACTGTGTGAGACTGGTGATAATTGCAACGAACCATTCTATGAATGAGAACAAAAAAAAAAGTGTCAGACATTTTCCGTCATTAACTCCATTTCTCCGTGCAGCGTCACAACTTACCGTATTATGTTCGAATACAAGATCTGTGTTTGTGTATGTGGCAACATTGGCCAAATTCACATTGATCGTGCCAAACTGTGATTGGGCATTGGTTTGCTGCGTTGGTTGCGTAACAATAATATGACTGGAACCATCGAGAATGCTTCCGGTTGATGAGGTGGATGCGATCGGTGATGGCGGGCAACTTGAATCCGGCGATAATGGTTCCTCTTTGATTGAACCATCCACTGTGTCCGTTTCATAGCATTCAACGGCAATAGTGTTTTCGATTGCGGTGCGATTGTTCTCGAGTTTCGGTGAGGTAAATGCCAATCTGGTTTGAAGCAAATCATTTGTGTTCAGGCTGTTAATGGTGTTGATGCTGTTGAAATCGGCCATTGTGCTGGCACTGGTTGTCACAATGAAATTATTGTTGTTGGTCGATTGACTGTTGGCCGGCAGAAGCATTGAATTTTTAATACACTTTAGCGATGTATTCAACGTATTATGGTTGAGGAGGTTGGTATCGTTGTTGTTGATTTGTTTCGTTGCTGACAATTTCGTCGAAAGCACATTTGTGTTTATCATTTCATAATCCTCATCCATTTCTAATTGAACAAAACCAAATTTTTGGAATAAATTTAATTTTTTCTTTTTCATTCTTTTGAAATTTTGTCTCGTTCTTCAGATTTGAAAGGATTTCTCGAGACTTTGGATGTTTTTGGCTCGAAAAATTCTTTTATTTGGCTTCAAAATCATTTGCTGGAAAAAAAATTGGTTTCCCACTTTGAATTGATATCACTTACCATCGATCTTATTTTGAAGACTACGCGGTGAGTCTGGAATTGAATCACCGTCCGAATTGAGGCTGTACGAATGCTCCGTTTTAATGGGCTGACCACCGTACAGTGCGTCAGTCATCAATTTATCCTGGTAGATGACGGCGGATTTTGGATCACGGTCCAAAAATGACCATTCAATCATATCGGAATCGGTGGATAGCTTCAGAGCCTCTTCCATTGCCTAATCGTGGAAAGAGTAAGGAGAAAATGGAATAAGTACATATACCATGAAAATATGATTCATTTTTATAATAAAATCATATAAAGCTGAAAGCAGAGTTGTGAAATGGTTTTGGATTACAACATTGTCTGTTCTCGACAGTCGCGGAGTTAAATCAGTGCGACAAACCGCAATCCATTCGCGAATGTAAACAATTGGTTAACGCAATTAAATCGAATGATCCACACACACACACACAGACACACACATACGACAGTTGTGTCTACATCAAAGTGATCACCTTATTTTATCCTATGGCCACTGTCGTTCATATATTTATTTTGTACCGTCTTTCGTCAGGCGAATAAAATCAACAACGGCAAAGAAGAAATGAGAATGAACGAACGAACGAACGGGAAATTGTTTATCGTTTCAAAAACAAAGAAGAAGAAGATGCAGAAAAATAACTTACGGCAAGTGTTCTGCACTGACTAGAAGGAAATATTCATTATTATTAAAATTGTGGTGTAGCATGCGATCTATTGGACGAGCATTTATGCATTTGGAAATAATATGATTTATGCTTAATTATTTTCAGTTTGGCGAGTAAACACGAATTAATGGGTGTTTGTTTGCGTTTGCTGATTTCTATTTATGCGTAAAATATTATCGAGGGAAAAATAAATGAAAAAGAATAACCGCTCTGTCCATTATCCACGCACCGTCGCAACGTGCTCACTGTGTAAAATGGGTGAAATACATTGATTCCTTTGATTTGAGATGAAAAAAAAAGACTTCTCTCTGTTCGGTTGTTGTGTTTCTCTCTCTCTCTCTCTCTCTGTCCAATCGATAATAAAAATGAAGCACGTGATTGTTGGTCAGCACCATTCTTTGATTGCAACCACGCGATCTATCTATATCTGAAATTGTGCGTGCACAAAATGCGGCAATGGTCGAGCAATCTTTAATCTAGAGAAGAAGGGCGCGAGAAAAAAAAACCATATGGACGAATCATAGCATGCATAGAATATAATAGGAAACCACTTTGAAAGATTTTTCTATTGCATAGATAATTATTCTTGCGTGAATTCTTGTGCATTATGTAAAAATTAAGCAAAATAAGAGGGAAAAAAGGTAGCAGCAGCAGCTGCAGCAGCGGCGCAGAATATGCTATTAATTATAATGATTTCTTGTTCGATACAATTTTTAATCAATCTCTTTGGCTTCGATTTATCCATTCGGTCTGTTGGTTACGTTGCGTTTGCTTTGCCATTCGGTTATTTTCATGTTTCATTTGAATAGTTGGAATGCCTGAACAATTCCGAATGTGTGCGCTTTTTTCGCTTCATTTCTGAAATTTACCAAAGAGAATTCGCCTAGGGTTTGGTTCGTTTTGGCTTCAGTCGTTATTTTTTTTCTTTCGTTAGTATGTTCAGTTTGTAAAAAGCATTAGGAACGTAGTGTGTGTGTGTTTGATTGTGTCTCTTGAACAAATCTGAATATCTATGCTTGCCACTCGGCTGCCGATGTTCTGACTGACACTCCAATCTCATGATCGCGAGCGCGAGTGAGGTGAGTGTGAACGGATTTGAAAAGGTGTGGCAATTCCTTTTCCCTCATTCCACTTGCTATGCGTAAACATGAGCACGTAAGTGGATGGACTCTATAACTGGTTATATGTTCGCTTTTGCCGAGCGCTACCACTGTCAATGCTGCATAACAATCGAGATATTGTGTGTAAGTTTGAGCAATTTGCAAAGTCTTTTGGATTCAAGCATTGACTTAATCTTTTTGTCACACACAAACACGCACCGATCGCGGCATGTCTCTCTCTCTCTCTCTCTCTCTCTCTCTCTCTCTTTCTCCCACTCTCTCTCGCTCAGTCTTCCACTTGTGTTTTTCATTTGTTTCGAATGAATTTCTCGAGCGAGCACAGTGATTAATTCAGCGCGATTACCAGCATTCAGATCAATCTCGGATCAATGTTCAATGTATAGGTGATGTGCCGCCGCCAACTGTCACATACATACACAAACAAGACGCACACGCGTTTTACCGCTCGCACACCTTCAAATTAATATGGTTTGACAATTTTTCGCTGTTGTTGTTATTCAATTAAATTTCTTTGGCGTTGATTCATTTTCGACCGAGTGTGTGCGCTTTTTTTCTTCTTTCTTTCTGCGCACAACCTATGAAGTTTCATTCACCTTCTTTTCTAAAAGTGTTGTTTTTTTCTGTGCAAAAAAGTGAGGAAAAAAACCGCGACTTGATCATGGCGCAGAGCGTGCAGTGTTTGCACGGCTGATCGTGCAAAAGAATCAAGTCGCTCAAAGTGAATGGGAAAAGAGTTATTCGTCTTAAACAGTTTATTTCGGCTCTTTTTTTCGCTTCTTAGCTATCTTCAATCTTGACGATAGCAAAGAAAGTATTCACGACTCATTTTTTTTTCGTTGCTTCGTTTGCCGTTGGTTTTGAATGAAATGCTCAAGATCTTGGTTGAAAAGAGATGTCTTTCATTGGTAAATGAGGATAAAATGAATAAATTCTGACGTCAACACCTCGATTTGCTTGATCTTAAAACGTCAAATAGATGTTTTTTTCTTCGGTTCGCTTGGTTTGCGCCCCGAAGTAATCCGGCAGAAATGCTTCCTTCGGAAAAGTAGAGAAAAAAAAACAATTATGAGAAATATTAGAGCAACTCTTTAGCGGCTAATTCAGTTTTCTCAGTCAAAAATAAGTAGGCACTTGGTTTTCTTTCTTTTTCGTGGTCGGTGCTTCTTTTCGAGCTAAACGATTTTAAAAACCGAAACAAAAAAAAATAATTTATCGTGAATGTTCTTATGGGAAAAGTCCAATGGGCAGATAAATAATGTAAGTACACAAATGAATGATCGCATAATTTGCACAACCGAGCATTTTACTCGTGTCGGTCTGACCCTATTTGACTTTGCCAGGGAGAGAATGGAGTCTTATTGCAAAAGAAAATTAACTGTCTTTTTCAACTCCGAGAACTAATATCGCTTGAAACAACGATCTCTTGCTCTCGCTCTCTCCAGCGACGTGTTGATTCGTGTAGAAAAACCAAAAACGATTCAAGAAGTATGCGCAATGCAACCAGATTCAGATCACCTCTCACTTATTTTTCGCCTTCGTGAAATACACACACAAATGGTTCCATGCTTTCCTTGTGATTCCGATCGGCTGGCGAGAAAGTTGATATATTCATATGTATAGGGAACACAACCGAAAGCATAACAGATAAAAATATAAATAAAATGGCAGAAAATGAAAAAAAGCTGCCAAAAAAATGTGAACAGCCAACCATCCAAACGCATTCTCATTTAGATATTTCACTTTTTGTCAGCGTTTTTTTCTTCTTCACGTCCATAGATGGATTTTGTGCTCTCCTGTCGACCAACTGAATAAATTGACGGCTTACACAGCGAGAGAATCGAGATGATGATGATGAAAAAACAGCAGCAGCAGCACACACACAGACACATACAGCGCACATCAAATAAATGAACGTGCTGAAATTAAATTCAGATTATGGAAAAGAAACCGAGTTATAAAACAGAAGAGGGAACAATTCCCCAACTGAATCGAAAAAATGTTCAGCGCACGAAAATTCGAAATATCATCGCCGAAGGTGAAGTGAGGTAAAAAAAACAAAATGCAATTACGTACGAATTATCACAATGAGGTGTGCAAGTTTTTCTACTTTTTTCCCTCGGTTTTCTCGTCTCTCTCCTCATAATAATAATTTTGTTTTTGCGCTAGTAGTGCGGTTCGGTTTCAAAAAAAAAAAATACAATAAATGAAAAGAATGTTTACAGCTCGCAGAATAAAAAAAACCTAATTCTACAAAATGCTTTCAGTCCAAGGTATATGACAGAATTTATTTGAAATTCAACACCCATCGAATTGCAAAGGAACAAAAACGAAAGAAAGAAAGAAAAAACCCATAAGATTGACAGTCACATCGATAAGGTGTTAGAATGGCACGGTTTTTTTTTCTACTGCTGATTTTGTTGGTGTTTATGCCAGCAACACAAAAGCACACACGAAAAATGTGCGGTGAATGCAAAAGCGCTCACCTCAAATTATGCTGCCAAAAAAAGCCGATAACACACAAATTAATTTAAATATGTACTCAAATGAGAGTTAAAAACATATACATATATTTCGTTTATAACAATTCATAACAACAACAACAACAAAGACCAACACGCACCGAAGTAAAAAGGTTGCGAAAAGGCGCGAATGCATATGCAGAATAATTTTGTTGGGCTTTTTCTCTCTCTCTCTCTCTCTCTCTCTCTCTCTCTCTCTCTCTCTCTCT